GAAACACAATACATATTACACCGTGATAAGAAGCGACTTTGAGCCCCAAGGCCTTGCAAAAACAAAATTCTTTCTCTAATATTACACTTTGAGTAATTGTTGTCCTAGTTTTGTTAGAATAGCTTTCTACGTTATTCTTTTATCTAGTCATTATGTCTAGAAAATGACGATATGTTCCTGAAAAAAGTTCGGAAATTTTAAAGGAATTCGGGAAAAATTTTTTTCCATTAAGAACGCTTCAATCTTTTGTAAAATATGTCATATTGACATGCATACCATTGCAAGGAGTGCTTTCGTTAAACATGTAGCCTCAAAAAGACATGAAATGTATGAGAATGCAAAATGAATCGTTTGATACCGAAAACGAGGAAATGTTAAACAATCCAATTTCTAAATATGATTTTCAAAGAGATCTGTGTACTGCAATGATTGCGCCAGACATTCCTTTTTGGAAATTGGAAAACAAACATTTTCGTAGGTTTCTGCAAAAGTATACACAGAAGAAAATACCCTCGGAATCGACTTTACGGAAAAATATATTAAAAGATTGTTACGCTGATATCCCCACTCGATACTACACCGCGTCGTAGCCTTGGGCGAATTGTAAGTGGGGAGAGCTAGCTACGAGCAACGCAATCTCAGAACTTTAATCCGGGCTCTAGTTATGATATTCCGATATCACATCCGAGTTATATTCTGATATCATTTCCGAGTTATGATTAACGATAATAATGTTGTGATATTCCGGAATATAAATTTACTTGTTAATAGGTTATATAGTCAGAAGATAACTATTAACTGTAATGTAAGTACTGTTATTTATTTAAATTTTTATTAAACATAAACTTTATTTGAAAAAAGAATTTTTATCAAGTTTTTTGTCATTGTTTTTCTTCCTCAGAATGAAGTGCTGTATACATGTAGTAATAAATATAAAAATAAAAACAAAAGATAAGAAAAAGAGACGAAAACGATGATGTAATGTCATGCTCCATAGTTTTCCCACAAACATAGAAAGAAAATCTATATGGATCAGTAATATTCGGAAAATTAATGGATTTACTTGGGAACCAAAGAATTCATCGTTTGTATGTTCTGTAAGTTCTGTTTTGCAGTATGTTCTGTAAATTGTACTGTAACAAATACATAGTTGTTTACTGATACATGCATATTTTTTCAGAAGCTAATCTTATAGCGTTTTCGATTGGGAAAAAGTTAGTGCGCACCAGTGCGCACTCAGTTCACATTAACACTGGACGAGTTCCATGGGTTGCATTGAATAGTGCAAATTCAAAAGAACACGCCAAGATTTTCAGTGCTAAAGCTGAAGTGCCATTTCGAGTTATAAGATTGTAAGGACTTGACTAGACTGCAGGAAAAACGCAGAAAAATAACCTCGACATCTCATGTTCATAACTTTAAGTAATGATTTTTTACTATATGTAATTAAATAATATATAAGATATCAAGAATATCATATATAAAACAATGCACTGATATCCTATATATGTATCCAGTGCACTGGACTGGCACCGTCAAAATATCTCGTGCCACTTAGTGCGCACTGAGTGCGCACTACGCGAGTGTCGTGCGATCAAATGAACACGTGACACTAGCTAAGTGCGCATTGGCATTGCCAATCGAACACGCTCTTGACACTGAGTGCAGCTAGTGCACCCCAATCGAAAACGATATTGGTGGGTGCATTCAGTACCACGACCGCTCACTGAGCGCTCAGTGAGCTCTTGTATCTGTTTGGTCTATATTTTTAGTTCTAACGGAATATGCCAATAAGATGCAAACGCTCACTAAGCGCTCAATGAGCGGTGTAGTACTGAATGCACCCATTCATTGAACCTGGAAACTCGCTTGAAATTTTTGGGGGGTTTTTTGTTCATCTAGGGGAATTGGCATTGCTTGTGGGGGGTTTTGGCTGTGGCCATCTGGCAACACTGGGTGTGTTGGATTCAGTTTTGAACCGGCCTGCGTCTGATCACTGATCGTGTGATACTTCAACATGGGCGATAACGTGGTAGTCAACGTGCAAAATCTGACCTTGGAGGATAAGGCATGAATCTTCCAACTTTATATACAACTCGTACTTGTCTCGTTTTTTTGAATACCGTTAAACTATGCAAACGAGTTTACGTTTTCACATTTATAGGACTGTTTATGGTGGTACTAAGTGGACACATGTTCGGGTTGGTTAAGATGTTTTTTTCTTGCCTGTTTGATTCCTTTTCGTGCAATTATTACGCTGTAGCTCTTGAATTCGTTGTTACTCTTATTGTCTAACAATAAAATTATGTTAGAACACGTCTTTTGTTTGTAACATGTAACCAACCATTGACGTCAGGATCGATAATCCGACGTAACCTATGAGCATTGTTTCACGCCAAGTGTCGCCTGACGTATAACGCTCACCTGACAATCCTTTGCGTCATTTAATTTGTCATTCAAACTCGAACGGTTTTTATTTCGAATATTTTGTTTTCAGGCGAAATCAATGAAGGCACTGAAGAAGAAACATGCTCCAGTGGAGAAGTCTGTATCAGAGCTTAATCCTTGGCCCTCCTATATTCAAGTAAACTTCATTAATAAATTAACTTAATTAAGTGCTAATATATCAAAAATTTAAATACACACACTTTTAAGCTTTCTAAATATAATTACTGTTATATTTTAAATTGTAATATTTTTCTATGCGTTATGAGTAAGTTAAATAAATTTAAGAAAATTTAAACATAAATATTACCATGGAAAGTTCGTATCATTTTTTCTTCTATAAATATCTTTTGAAAAAACGACAACCTAATATATTAAAAACTGATCTTTTCTATAATTACACTACTGCTCATTGATTTCAATATACCTTCAGACTTGTTGATTTTTCTATAAAGGATGAACATACTAACATAGTGTATGTTTCGTACAGAAATAAATCTACTTGCTGTTATAAGCACTTTTAGAGTGCATCATATTTATACATTATTTATATAAAAATCTTTATAAATTGTAATTTTCGAAGAAACTAGGCTAACTGTATATGTGTTGACGAATCAGTTTCAAAACAGTGAGTCTGAAGATGTATTGAAATTAATAAACAGTAGTGTATTTATTAATAATTCTTGAATTTAAGATATAATTATTAGATCTTTATTTTAAGATGCAATTTTATCTATATAGGACCGTATTGTATTATGGGATAAATTGAAAAAGGAGTACGAAGAGACAATAGGAGCAAAGACTCCTGTAAATATAACTGTAACTCTTCCGGATGGAAAGAGAGTACTACTCCTTATGATGTTGCAAAAAGTATTAGCCAAGGATTGGCAGATAATACTGTAATCGCAAAAGTCAACAATGAATTATGGGATCTTGACAGACCTCTAGAATTTGATTGCAAACTGCAGCTGCTGAAGTTTGATGATGCAGAAGGTCAGCAAGTGTTTTGGCATTCCAGTGCTCATGTCCTCGGGGAAGCTATGGAAAGAGTTTATGGCGGCTGTCTTTGTTACGGTCCTCCTATTGAGAATGGCTTCTATTATGATATGTACCTGGGTGATAAGGGAATTTCCAACACGGACTTTCCATATTTAGAGGGTCTATACAAGAATATAGTTAAAGAGAAACAACCGTTTGAACGGCTAGAAATGACCAAGGAAGATCTCTTGGAAATGTTCAAGTACAATGAGTTCAAAGTACGGATTATAAATGACAGAATACAAACGTCTACCACTACGGTTTATAGATGCGGTCCGCTGATCGATTTATGTAGGGGACCGCACGTTAGACATACGGGAAAGATTAAGGCCATGAAGATCACGAAGAACTCGTCCACGTATTGGGAGGGAAATGTTAATGCTGAGTCACTGCAGAGATTATATGGAATAAGTTTTCCGGATACTAAACAATTGAAGGAATGGGAAAAATTTCAGGAAGAGGCGGCCAAACGAGATCATAGGAAGATCGGAAAGGAGCAGGAGCTGTATTTCTTCCACGAACTTTCGCCCGGATCTTGTTTCTTCCAACCACGTGGTGCATACATACATAGCACCCTGGTTGACTTTATTCGCTCCGAGTATAGAAAGAGAGGATTTCAAGAAGTGGTCACCCCGAACATTTTCAATAGCAAATTATGGCAGACTTCGGGACATTGGCAGCATTACGCGGAAAATATGTTTTCTTTCGATGTGGAAAAGGAAACTTTTGCACTCAAGCCCATGAATTGTCCGGGTCATTGCATGATTTTCGACGTTCGATGCAGATCTTGGCGCGAACTGCCGCTCAGATTTGCAGATTTCGGGGTGTTGCATCGCAACGAATTGTCAGGTGCATTAACTGGTCTTACCAGAGTGAGACGGTTCCAACAGGATGACGCGCACATATTCTGTTCTATAGAGCAAATTAAAGACGAGATAAGTGGCGCTCTCGACTTTCTATGGCATGTCTATTCCATTCTTGGTTTTACATTCAATTTATGTCTATCTACGCGACCCGAAAAGTTCTTGGGGGATATAAAAGTCTGGAATGAGGCCGAGAAAGCATTAGAAGAGAGTTTGAACGCATTTGGTCAACCGTGGAGCCTTAATCCTGAAGATGGTGCATTCTATGGACCTAAAATCGACATTACCATCCAGGATGCACTTAAAAGGCCTCATCAGACTGCCACAATACAATTAGATTTCCAGTTGCCAATTAGGTTCAATTTATCTTACGTTAAGTAAGTATTCATTATAAACTTAAATTTTGGTTTAAAAAATTTGGATATGAATCATTCACATTTTCTTGTTATATATTTATAGCGAAGCTGGAGAGAAAACTAGACCGGTCATCATACACAGAGCTATTCTGGGCTCTGTAGAACGCATGATTGCGATTCTAACCGAATCATATGGCGGTAAATGGCCGTATTGGCTTTCTCCGCGACAAGCGATGGTTGTGCCGGTAGCATCGCAATTCGATGATTATGCCTTCGAAGTGAAACAGAAACTCTGGGACGCTGGCGTTATGGTCGAAATCGACATTGATCCGAGTGACACTCTAAACAAGAAGATTCGTAATGCTCAGCTTGCACAGTTTAACTTCATACTCGGTACGTACTAAGCTCTTGATAAATAAAATTATAAAAGAACTTGTATAGAATTGTAGGTATATATATTATCGTTTGATGTCTCGTTATCTTAGCATAATAACTAATAATTTTTTATTATAGTTGTGGGAGAGAAGGAACGTAACGCTGGCACGGTGAATATTAGAACGAGAGACAATGTAGTACACGGTGAAATGGCAGTGGACGAATTAATTACAAAGTTGAAAATTCTGAAAGAAACGAGAGACTCTAGTGGCGAATTAAAATAAAATCTTGATTCAGCAATTTTTTAAAGTAAATTTATTTATTTTTATTGCACAATATCTTGCTAAAGCTATAATAAACTTAATAACGGGATGAATCCATTTTTTTCAGTGAATTCTTTTTATGTTTAAGAAAATATATATTTTTAATTTTATATGTACAGATTATTCTCTTTCCATAAATATGAAAATTAAGTTAGGGATTATTATTTATGTACATTTTACGCATTGTGCAACATTTATTATGTGATTAAATATTTGGTCATTCTTCGTATACATTGTGTTTCATTATAATATAGCGATTATCAATTACTGCGTTTCTACATATTATTATCTATATATTTATAGACAAATGTTTTAATTCAATTGATTTTAATTGAATTGATCAATCGAATTATGCTGCACATATATTGCTCCACAGAAGCTGCATTTTCGCATAATGCGATTGATCAATCATTGAATTAAAAAACTTGATTTATTTTATTGTTACACAATGCTAATCATGATTTGACAACATTTATAAAAATAATCTATTTCATGTTTCTCTGATCAATATTATTTATATGTCACAGTCAAAGTGTTAACTCAGTGTATTTATACATTTACTAAAGTTAACACTTTAACTGTAATAAATATACATATATCATGTAAAAAAAAAGATATATCGCTGTATCTTTTTTCCATATATTAGTTACTAAGACCTTGATCTTTCATTCTTTTAATACACATTCAAGTACAACTAAATATTTATACTACAAATATCTGCTTTCTCCATCTCCGTATTCTTAACTTGATAAGCCTTTAGAATCTGTAAATTTAATTGCTTTTGTGCAATAAAACTTTGAACATTATAATATCAAAAATTTCGTTTATTTCTGAATTCTCTTTCTGCTGTTTGCGAAAAAGAGAGACTTATATCGTTTTCAATTGGGATGCACTAGCTGCACTCAATGTCAAGAGCGTGTTCGATTGGCAATGTCAATGCGCACTTAGCTAGTGTCACGTGTTCATTTGACCGCACGACACTCGCGTAGTGCGCACTCAGTGCGCACTAAAGCCCATGGCACATACAAAAACGTAAGGCCGTAATACGTAAGCAATAAAGAAATCGTAAGATTGGATTCGCTACTGGCCTTACAGTCTCTATCGTGATTGGCCAATTCGCTTACTGATTATGTCTTACGGCCTTACGTTTTTGTATGTGCCATGGGCTTAAGTGGCACGAGATATTTTGACAGTGCCACTTTAGTGCACTGGATACATATATAGGATATCAGTGCATCGTTTTGTATAAGATAAAAGGATATATAATAGGGACAAGCAAATCTATAATTTATAGCATGCAAATGTGTATAATTATTGATAAGTATGTACATATATGATATTCTTGATATCTTATATATTATTTAATTACATATAGTACAAAATCATTACTTAAAGTTATGAATATGAGATGTCGAAATTATTTTTCTGCGTTCTTCCTGCAGTCTAATCAAGTCTTTACAATCTTACAACTCGAAATGGCATTTCAGCTTTAGCACTGAAAATCTTGGCGTGTTATTTTGAACTTGCATTATTCAGTGCAACCCATGGAACTCGTACAGTGTTGGTGTGAACTGAGTGCGCACTGGTGTGCATTAACTTTTTCCCAATCGAAAACGCTATTAGATTCGATTGCACCAACGTTACTTTAAGTCCGTATCAGACTACCGACTCTGCAGGCCGACCCGACTGCCAACTCTGCCGATCAATAATGGACCAATCACAATAAGACTGATTCAATGTGATTGGTCCATTATTAGTAAACAGCCAGAGTTGGCAGTCGGGTCGGCTTGCAGAGTCAGTAGTCTGATACGGGCTTTAAGCGAAGCTTAAAACTCTCTCTCTCTCTCTCTCTCTCTCTCTCGGTTTTAAAAAGAGAGAGCGAGTGAGCAAGTTTTAAGTCAAAATAATGTTGATGCAATCGGGCATTAATATCATGATAAGTAAGACTATTGACTTTTATGCCAGCACATGTCATGAATATTTGAATGGGATGCGTACGCTTCGAAATATCTACACATTCTACACTGATATAACGATATTGTTTACGATAATCACGAATCACGACGTCGAGTCGATAGGTCGATACACATGCGCAAAATATTTTTCATCGACATTTTTTCTTTTAGCGCAGTAATAATTCTTCGCATCATCAGTAACGTTATTGTTGTTCACGTTATTATTGAAAGATGTATTTTCACCGCATATATATCATATAGTGTGACATTTGATCATCGCGGTATCACTTCCGGGAAGAAACCGGAGCGACACTGTGTGGCATTACGAGGCGAGGAACGTAACGGGAAACAGGACGTGGCGTGGTGCGTGTGAAGGCGTCGTGGACTATAATTGTCCGAAAATGACGACGGTGGCGATCTCCCCAGCTATGGCTCATAATAACAGCGGAATAATACAAGTGGTGAACGAAAGTAACTTAAGCAAAATCGAGAGGTATTTTCCTATATTATTCTACCGCGAGTGGCAGTTTATCGGGGAGCGGCCGAAAGATAATTATCGATCCGTTTTGCAGCTTCCTCAACGACACGGCTTACAGAGAAGCCATTGAGAATTCCTCCAATTATAATAGCCGATTATGCCGGGAACGACGTCTTCGCATGCCCTTCCTCGACTCACAAACAGGTAAAATTCACAATCGATTGTCTTAGTTAATTTCACTTGGTTGTTGTAAAATTATTTGATTGACAGATTAATAATATTTTGATTTTATTCATTTATCAGGCTGATTCATTGATTCGAGCATCGCACATAAATATTTATTTGGAAAAAATATGAAATGATTAATAAAATATGGCCTTATAATTAGTCTATAAAATTTACTTGAAAAATAACGATATTTAAATTACCATATTTAGCAACTCATATAATTGGATAACAAAGTGTATCCATTTTTTATTGAATTAACTTTAAAATAGCAACATACAATATTTTATAAATAAAAAAAAAATTTATTAATTTATATTATTATTTATTAATTTTTATGCTTTGGCACTTATATTACATTAATGTAAGTACCACAGAATAAAAATTAATAATAAATAATATATATAATTTACAATTAAAACCATTGCAAGAATTCATCAATATGATTTTGTTTTTAAATGATAGTATTGGTTTATTTGAAATCGCAGGTGTTGCACAAAATCACTCTGCACTTTTTATGTCCTCGAGAGAAAGATTACCAGGATTGTTACATGGTCAGATTTATACTTATCCAAGTAAACGATGGCGAAAGAAACGTCGACAGTATTTAATGCATTATTTACATCCAAAACGAGGATTAAGAGGAGATACAGAAGATGGAACAGAAGGTGTAGAAACTATTACGCATATAAATGATGATAGCAAAGATTCAGTAGCACTTAAAGGTAAATAAAATTGAACATCAAATTATATATGAACAAACTTTTATCGTTATTACAATTAGTTTATTTAGACATGCAATTTAATCTTTCTTTTAAATAACAAATTGAATATTTTTAGATGAGCACAGTAAAGATGCTTGGTACTATGATGAGCAAGATATGTTAGACATAGATGCCTATGATGAACCTGATCCTGATAGCGATTATGATTATGAAGAGAGTTACAGCAGTAAACGGAAACGCAGGAAAACTCGTGGAGGTGGTCATCATCCAGCTCGTAGTCATCCACCTACCACAGATAGTCCAGGCGGCAAACGTACAAAAGTAAATTATAAATTAAATATAATCACACGCACGCGCGCGCGCGCGCGCCTACACACACACACACACACAATATAAGTATAGATATTTTAAATGTAAAAGCTTTCATATATAATAGAATAAATCAATATATATATATATATTTTTTTTTAAGACTAATAAAGACATATTTTTATAAAAATTACTCTTTTACATGAATCTCGTAAATAATCTGTGATAGATTGATGTGATTTAATAATTTTTATTTGATGCAGGGTGGCGGCCGTGGACGCAAAAAGACCAACTATGACTCTGTTGACACTGATAAACCATTCGTTTGTGACCGTAAGTTTAATCATAGATATAACTACAAATGACCACTTCCTGTTATTAGTATATTATAAACTATTTCTATTATCGTTTTGACATTTATTATTATTTCAAATAAGTTACAAACGGGTGAATTTTTTGTTAAAAAGTTTGTTAATTTTGTCCACCTATATTCATATCAATATATATTACATCTTAATTATGATATAGAAGAATCTTTATTACCTTGAGCTTTTTATTATGATATGATGAAAATATGATGAAAATTTGAAATAAATTATTAAATATTGCAGTTGAATATATGATAATATATATAGTTTTGAATATAATCTTGTGCAATGGGGTAATCCAGGCAATGATAATTCAGATACGTAACAAACTATAATGCGGGAAGGTGCTTTCTAGTCTTATTTTCTCATCGCGATGACTTAATATTGTTTGTTCAGAGAGATAATATATATTAGTGAGTATTTTTTTCAAGTCCAAATAGCAACACATACAAAAATTTGAATATAAGGATTTTATTGTGCGGAAAATCTATATTTTATCATTTTATTTTGTTCTTTACTTGAGTATGGGCAGTCATGGTATGATTCTGAGTGCAAGGCAGAGACTAGTCGTTTGTTCCAAATATCCAAAACTTTGTGCATAAAAAGTATACGCTTTTTTTATACTTATACTCTTAAATATTTCTCTATATTTATTAATTGGATTATAAATAATTAAATAATGGATATAGTCCAAACGTTCCATGTAAATAGCTTATAATTATTCCGTTGTGTTAAAATTGAAGATTTACCATATTGCAGTCTAATTAAACTAACATTTTATCATTCAACTTTTAATAACAATACTTCGTCTTGATTAAAACCGAGCGAATTACTAACATATTATGTCAATAAAAGGTATTATGTTAATTAAAAGCTTGATTTTTACTTTGCAATCATGTAACATTTACATT